ATGACATTATATGACATTATATGACATTATATGACAATGTATGATCTAGGACCCTAGGACTGGAGAACCTCAGCGGAGCACGTGTACGATTTGTACCGCGGGAACGATGCAACCATCGGACCATCTGGTCTACCTCCAGCGACAGCCCTACCCGACTGGCACCTGGGAGGTCGTTGAGCAGGTGGACCAAGCGTCCAAACCTTCAATTTCCGCGGGTTCCTCTACCTTGTAGGCCTCAAGAATCGAGTCATGAGTGGGATGAGGTCAGATGGATGTCATGTCGGTGATAACTATGGCGTATGCCATATGCCATGGAAATCAACCAAGGCAGTACAGAGACTGCACGCCAGGAAGCACAATTTGGCTCGTCCGGCTCTTCGAACTCTTCCAACTCCTCCAACTCCTCCGGCTCATCCGACTCCTCCGACTCCTCCAACTCCTCAGGCTCATCCGACTCCTCCGACTCCTCCAACTCCTCCGGCTCATCCGACTCCTCCGACTCCTCCAACCCCTCCGGCTCATCCGTCTCTTCCGACTCTTCCAACTCCTCCGGCTCATCCGACTCCTCCGACTCCTCCAGCTCCTCCGCATCCACGTGCATCGCAGGATAATTAGGTGCTAATGCAAAGCAAACGCAATCGCACAATACAAATAATTGTGTTGGCATTTGTACATTTACACACACACACATATATATATATATATATATATGCTCATACCAAATATACAAAACAGCATTGTGGTCACGGCAGTCCTGTTCCCTCCTCCTCCTCCTCCGTGGGCCAGGCAGCAACGACTTCGGAGAGGACTGCAAGCGCCGCACGGAATGGCTGGTTTGCTATGGGCAGTTTGGGTTTGAAAGGGAAAGAGTTCCAATATCTGCTCTTATGTCACATCATTCACATCCTAAACCCATCCCTTTCATTCCCTATCTGAAGTTTTTTCCCCACCTGCCAGGTGAGGGTTGTTAGATCTTATCAGAGCTGTTCTCCTCCTCCTCCATCTCCTCCTCGTCCTCCTCCTGGCAGTCCAGATCCCAGTGGGCACTGCCGGACCTCCACCGCGAGCTCCAGATCCCAGTGGGCACGAGCTCTAGATCGCAGTGGGCACTGCCGGACCTCAACCGCGACTTCCAGGTTACAGTGGGCACTGCCGGACCTCAATTCCAGATCTCAGTGGGCACTGCCGGACCTCAACCGCGACTTCCAGGTCGCAGTGGGCACTGCCGGACCTCAACGGCCAGATAGAATGCCAGAAGATATGCCAGATGGAATGTCAGATAGAATGCCAGAAGATATGTCAGATAGAATGCCAGAAGATATGCCAGATAGAATGCCAGAAGATATGTCAATGTCAGATAGAATGCCAGATAGAATGCCAGATAGAATGCCAGATAGAATGCCAGAAGATATGTCAGATAGAATGCCAGAAGATTTGCCAGTAAGAAAATGTATAAATGTCATGGTGGGGATCATTCGAAGTGAAGTAATTTTTTTGTACCCACGCCCTACACCTTGTGGAAAGGAGACCGCCAGCCACTGACCAGGCCCGCCATTCTCAAGCGCTCCATCTGCGGCAGGTGCAAACGTCTGCTTTCATGTGCATTCTAAATGGGCTGCAGTTAGGCCTGATTTTCACACTAATTCCTAATTCAAACTCACCTGAATCACGATATTCTGATATTTGGGCCAGCAAGTTGGTTCCACTATGTTCCACTAACACACCATGGCCCTGGTGCCACCTCCATTTCAAGGCTACGCTTCACCTCGGTCCTTTGGCTGTCTTCGAAACGCCGTGCCATGTCCTTCACAGACTTTGGAACCTGGCAGGCCGTAGGACCCTTAAAGGACCCCATCTGGACATCTGGCTATCCTGGTGACACGTTTGGGGACTGCATCAACGCCTTGCAACGTCTTGCAACAAAATGGGTTGAAACTTGAAACATGTTAAAGTCATGGCAGTCATGGATTTTGTCTGAATTCCTCGGATTTTCAGTACAATTATTAAGGAGTTTTGACATCGTTCTGGGCAAAAATGAGAAAAATGAGGTCACTTCCTAGAACCCCCTGAATTTCCTAGGATTTTGTTGGGGGGGCTCAGGAGCCAACAAAAAATATGTTCATGATTTCTGGACTTGTATGATTTTGAATCCCTGGGGTGCCTGTGAGATAAACGCCTCGACCCCACAGATTGATGGAAGGCTTGCAAGCACACGTCCCGTCCCATCCCGTCCCGTCACGTCCCGTCACATCCAATTCGTCCAGCCCAAGTTGACCAGTTGACCTGAACCTCCATCAACGTCGTCATCTTTCCGAATTCGCGACGTCTGAGAAGGTCTTGACGGCTGCGAGAATGCACCAGTTTTTTCTTCACAGATCTGGGGCTAACACAATTCGACGTCAATGGATCACCACGTGCACAAGCTGAAGCAGTTTAACATCTTGCAAAATATTCCAAAAAAATAATATGTATTTACCATGTAATTACATCATCTATATCCATCTATATCCATCTATATCCATCTAAATATCCATCTATATCCATCTTACAATAGATATATTATGATATATTATGGATATGAAGATCCATCATATATATATATATGTATATGATCTATCATATATCCATCATATATATATAATATATATATATATATCAATTCTCAGTTCAAATTCAATGGCAGACACCCAGGGCCTGTTTTACACAGTCCAGGGCCAACACCCAGCTTACAGGATCTCACAGGCCGCAGCCACATGCAATGCCGCCAACAGTCGTCTCTGCCGTGTCAAGATGTCTCCAGATGTGTCAAGATGTGTCAAGATGTGTCAAGATGTGTCAAGATGTGTCAAGATGTGTCAAGTATGTATGTATGTATGTATGTATGTATGTATGTATGTATGTATGTATGTATGTATGTCTGTCTGTCTGTCTGTCTGTCTGTCTGTCTGTCTGTATGTATGTATGTATGTATGTATGTATGTATGTATGTATGTATGTATGTGTGTATGTGTGTATGTGTGTATGTCTATGTCTATGTCTATGTCTATGTCTATGTATATGTATATGTATATGTATACATATAAATGTATATATATATATAAACTAAATATGTGTGTGTGCATGTATATGTGCATACTATTATTGTGTGTCTTAATGCCATGAATTGGCATCAATGATCATCACTTGGCATTGTAAAATCGATGACATATCCATGAAACACGTCTTGGTTGCTCTACATTGCCCAGCCGGCATTGCCATGGCTGTCACCTAAAGTTGAGACATATTCTGACATATTCTATTGGGACGGATCATGATGTATCATGATGTATCATGTGTATCTGCTGTTGGCATGTTGGCCCTTCAAAGGTGGGAAAAGAAGGCGGCACATCCATGGTGGCACGCTTCCACGGGTGGCCTGTTGGGATATCAGCAGGCGCTACCTACAAGTACAACAGGCGTTGCCGACACCGATACGGCAACCAAAGCCTTGTCATGCCTTCTTCAAACCGTTTCCAGCCGAACCAACAACGGACCAACAACGAGAAAGCTACACGCAACATTCACATGTAACTCGAAAAATACTTAAATATACTTAGATCACAAATCACAAGTAAAAAATCACTTAACATGTTCACCAGCAGAAACCATCGCTTTGGGCCTTTCGAGTGCCTGAGCTGATGTATTAGCCGCGGCATGGCCACTTGGCGGCATTCAAGGAACCAGCCTTTTCAAAGGCTCAGACTTTGCATCGCCCTGAAACATCCAGAAACATCAAGAAACATCAAGAAACATCAAGAAACATCAACACACCACCAAAAAAATGGTGAAACGGCATGAAACAGCAATAGAAAAAACATGTTTTAGATTGTTTTAGCCCAATTTTAGAATATTTTGATATATTTTGGTGTTGGTGGGAAGTGGCAAATCATGGCAAATCATTCGCTACTTGTAGCCGTATGGCTTTTTGTCATTGCTGTTTCTCAGCTGAGATCAAACGTGCCTGGTCTGGCTGACAGAGCCGCAAAAGCAGGAGCATACCTTGGAACTCAACGTTTTTCGGGGACTCTGGCGACTGGGCGCTCCGAAGAATCATAAGCAGTCATAATATAGTCGTAATCATCATTTTTGTCACAAAAAAAAATCACAACACATTTGCGAAATCATTGGGGAAAACCATGGGAAAACCAATGAAAACTCAATGAACATGATTCTGGTACGGAAAGAGCTTCATAACACTAGCACTGCATGATCTGCATGGCACTGCTTAGCACTGCGTGGCACTTTTTGGAGGCGAGCGTCACATTATGTCATCCATCCTGCTCTTCCTGCTCTGTTTGAAGCTCTTTGAGTTGCTGTGTGAGGCTCGCAACCTGGCGGAGGCTTGACCGCTTGACAAGCCTTCCCTTTTTTTGCGTGAATCGTGGTGATATCATGCTGTTGCGAGTCATCTGGCATGTGGAAACCAGTGGGAAATAGTGGGAATCTCATCCGATGGCATCCCCATGGATCCATCATGATCCATCCCCAATCCTTGGCTTCCAGTTCCGCATTCTGTCGCCGCAGCTCATCATTATCTGCCCGCAGCTCCTGACATGCCATGGATTGCCGAGGGGTGACCAATTGTGCCCTACTGCAGTAACACCATTCCAAGATATTCCAAGGCAAATCATGTCTCCTCAACATCAACACCTGTCAAGATTGTCAAGGCAACATGCGTGTCTCATGTGCCCGAGAAGGTTCAAACAAAAAAACATCCGGCTGTTGTGATCTATTGGAGTTGCTGGCGGAGCTTCTGTCTTTCATCACTTGAATGGTATGATAATGTATACTTTTGGTCAACTTAGTGCAGGGCCGGTTGGAGCTCCCAAATATTTTTTGATGTAGTCGATGGCCTCAGATTCCGCTGCTGTCAAACACATCAAACACATCAAACACAACTGCAAGTACTACAAGTGTGCTAAATGAATGGCATGGCTATAGTTACTAGTTCTGACATCTGCACCAAACTCGGTCGAAGCCACATTTCCGGGCCGTTCAGGTTCCTCGTACAAGCCCACCAGCACTCGGGTGAGCTGCGAGATTATGCCATTCTTCCTTGGTGAAATCTCTCTCTATGTGACTCATGTGACCCACACTGTGACCCACACTGCCGGCTGTGCCAACATGTACTTATTACTTATATCACATAGAGTCACGTATCATGTGTGTACTACATGTAAATATTTAAACAGTTTTAAATACAGTATATTATATATAATATGTATAATATGTATAATATGTATATATATATACAATTATTCATATGCCTATTATTCATGTCCAATCATGTCGAGATTTTCATCATCTGAGCTGCTCGAGATATTTGCGGAACTCCTCCTTTTGTGAGTCAGCGGTCTCATAGCTCATGGTGAAGCTGGTGGTCGCGGCCGAGAGCTGATCTCACCACAGCTTGAGCTGAAAAACGCAACGTCGGATGGGGACTCGCGACGGCCAGATCGGCCAGGGGGGGGTTCCATAGTATGGAATAGGTAAGTGGTGGTAAGATGTGGCATGTACTTCTATAATCTTCTATATCATTCTATATCTCTATTCCATTCTATTCCTCTTTTATCCTCTTTTTGTGTCACCACCGGGGGCGAAATCTGGGATAAATATGGTCAATTCGACAAAAAAAATCTGGGTAAAACGGATCAAATCTATGGCGAAAGGTGCTGAAATTCGAGTGTGCCATTCCGGTGCTCACAGCAACAATTCGACGGATAGCCCAGGCGAAGCCACAGGGATTTGCAAAAGCCTGGCACATCCTGTCCTTCATAATCCATAGGAAAATTATGGAAATTTCTTTCGTATTCTTTAGGTCAGGATCCGAATTGCATGAAATCCATTGAAATCCATGAAATTGCCCAGTCAATCCGGTCATACCTTGGGGAAGGCCCGACTAAGACCACTGTTACAGTGCTGCGACGCCCGACAGCTGAAGACACATTGGTATCATTGGTGTTTTCTGACATTTTCTGACCATGGTCAGCTGCAGCGGCTGCAGCGCTTTCGCCAGAGACCGTAGCGGTCGTAGCGGTCGTAGGGGTCGTAGCGGTACGTCTCGCACTCCTCAGACTCGCTATGAGTTGGTGAAGTGTTGCGGCTCCCGTCATTAGCCGCAACAGCCCTGCACCCGATGGTTAAACGGTTAAACTAAGCTGGTGCGATGCTGGGGTGACTATCCCACTCCATATCTGCTACTAGTACATGCAAATAATGCTATATGGATACTGAGGAGTGGTACACCCGGATACCAATGGAGTGGACCTGAAATCCTGAGATACCTGGGATATCCTGGGGTATGGGGTGCTTCTGCTGGGTTGCATCAACTCCAGTCGTGGTCTGCGGAAGGAAGATGGAACCAGCGACGGAACGGCGCGTTTGAAGATGGCAATCACAATGGCGGTGCCGACCTGGTGGGATAACATAGAAGTAACACGTAACACAAAATCACACGACCAATGATCAACATGTGAACTGTGTAAGATGAAGTAAAATGCACAAACATGATCAAACATGCACAAGCAACATCAGTTTTGGAATGTGAATCTGAGATGGTAAATTTTAAGATGGTTAAAGAACATGAAAGAACATGAAAGAACTGTTGACTGGATCTGGAAGTGCACGGAAGTGCTATGGATCTGACTGGCGTGAGAGGTGCGATGATGATAGCTGCAATTGGTAAGAAGAGGACCACATCTTTTACGGTCCTCCACAGCCATGCGCTCTCAATCTTTGAGAATCTGCGTTCCGCTGACTGTGGAGATTGTGGACTTCTCAGGAGGGCTGCGGAATACGAGAAATCCTGGCTGATCATAGACACGCTGTCCACCAGTTCTCGCACCTCCCTCTTAACTCGTTTCACAACGGTCACTCGAAAGTTCTTCAGCCTCTTCAGCAGTGCAGAATTCCATGAGACTCGAGTGACACCTGCCTTTTCGTCTGTAATGTTTTGCTTTGGTTCAGCCTTTTTATTTGGGGCGGCGGCTTTCCCTGCAATCAGCAGGGATTCAACAAATTCCAGGAATTCAGCTTCTGTGACAGCCCCGTCATTGTCCGAAGCTATCTGAATGATCAAGCCCAATTCATTGAGATAATTTCCCTGTCGCGTCATGAAGGGCTGAAGGATGGCAAAAGCATGTCCATAAGTTAGTGTGCCACTTCCTTCATCATGTTCAGCGAACAGTTCCTTCACCCGTTGTCTTTGCAACGTGCTATCCTTTGCTTTCTTGATGTCGTCAATAAGCGTGCCTGCCACTGCACGATGGCCAAAGTATGGCTCAACAACAAGACCAATGACACCTACAATCTGAGATAAACCTGATGCATTCCAGTGCCTATTGTGAATATGAAACACAATTACCAATCCCGGCACAATCCCCGGCAAAGTCCTTTCCGGGGCTCGACCATTCTCCCACATGGTTCCTTCGTTTCATGGAACAGGCCTGAGCTCTCACCCTGCTCCAGTAGTTGCCAGCCAGCAAGTGCACGATGCCGCTGCTTCACTGCAATTGATGCCCATGCACGAGCAAAGCGTTGCCTGGGCTCAGTCGAAGCAGATGGGCTCAATACTGGCACACTCTTCCAGAGAAGCATAAACAAAAAGATCTTCAGCGCAGGCGTCAGAGCACTCCGAGCTAAAACGACGTAGGGCAGGATGGACAGGACATCTCTTGCTGTCCTCTTCAGCATTGCTTGCTCCAACAAAGTCAACTTTCCTTTGACACTTTTTTTGAGCACATAGATGCCGTAGCGCAAATCCCTCAGGAAGGTGAACAAACTGTCCGACATGTCATTGAGATTAAAGGACTGCGTCATGTCATCCGAGAAGAGACCTCTGGGACGGCTGGGAGAGTCGTAAGTCCTCGCCACTTCCACGAGGGTCTGTAAGAACTCGGTGAACTCACCCAATGTCAAGGCACCTGTCCGTCGCCGGTCCACAACCACCATCAACGCTGACCTCAGCGCAATGGAATGCAGGCGGAGCATGGCGAAGCAAGGTACCTGCCTGAGATTCGCACGCGTCCATGCGGAAATCCTCCATGCTGTTCTTGGGCAGATTCAGTTGTCCACCCCAAAAGGCTTGCACGATGCTCAAGACAGTACCTGGGCTATGGGATGCTATGGGAATGGATGTATCTTGATGTAACAGCATTCAGAAAAAGCTGACTTGAAATACCTATGGTATTTTCAGTGATGAAACATGGCAACGGGAAATCCCCTATATAACACAGATGAGGTTCCAATTCTAATGGCAAAATCATCTATAAATGGTCGATTTTCCAGCCATGCTGCTATGACTGACGCTGCCATTGCGGTTTTCATCCAGCTCCTCTGGCATCTCAAAAGGGTCATCCTCACCAGGATTTTATGATATTTTATGCATGGGTTGATATATGTTGGTTATTTGTTGACATGGTTGATTACATGTTGGTGTGGTTTGACTATTTGTTTGATATATTTTGATATGTTATATGTGATTTCCAAACATGGCACACTCGTGAAATGGGCATGACTTCCAGCACAAACGCTATATTAGATTCTAAGAATACACACTTCTGTGTGATTCACTGTCCCGTTTTCATACACGGGCATTGGTATCTGTAAAAAACCCAAAAATAGCTGGCAAATGGATGTGCAACCCCCAAAGACAAGTAAATGTATAGACTACGTGATGATTTTGAATGTATGCGACAGCATTTTGGAATCCCAAATAGTGTTCGTTCATTGGCCCCATGCCCATGATGCGCCCACTCCTCGAAGAGGTTACGAATGGATCCACTGGCAGCTGATGAATTGGTCTCTTGAAAGATTGCCAACACCGCTGCATCGAGCTCCTGATGGCATCCCAACCCCTGAAAGAATTCAAGATCCGGAGCGCCGGCCAGTTTGACTCTCGCCAGTCAGACAAGTCATCAAGAGTCTGAATTAGCCGTTTGGAAGTAGAGAAGGTGAGAAGGTGGGTAAGTACTGTAAGTACCACAAAAATGAAACAGAGTTGATGCCAACACAATGCCACAATATCCTAACATGCCACCAGCTGAAGCATGCTGAAGCCACTGAGTCCTCGGATGCCTGCCCGTAAAGTGTCCAGTCCTGTAAGGTGACAAGCAGGGCTGAAAAAACTCGGAATGGGAAACTTTGCTGAATGATGCTGAATGGCTCATGTTCAAATCTTGTTGCTGCCATCTGGTGGCATTGCACTGCACATACAATCCCACAGCAACAAACTTCGGGAGACTCTGAAGCCAACGGCTATTGGTCAAAGCGTGTCAAGTCATCTTCCAAACAACATTTTGGATCAGCAGTATCAGCAGTGACCCACCCACCCTCCTTGAAATCTGGATGCTTTCTCACGTCACGACGCGCTTGCGCCAGCTGCAGCCGTAGCGGGGAAAAAGATGAAGGCAAGAGCTTGGGAGCTGTCGTTTTGATGAGCCAAAACAAACAGACCTTGGCTGGGCCGACTTGGGCCGATCATCAAGCATGTGAGGTCATCTATCTGATGTCATTTGATGTCATATCTGTTTATAATATTATATAATATATATATATATATATATGTGTGTGTGTGCGTGCGTGCGTGTGTGTATTATATGCCTTATACCTTTCAGATATTTTCAGTCTGTCACAGTCTGTTGATGTCTTTTGCTTCAGCTGCATCTTCTGCACACATTGCGTTTCGATCTGAGTGTAAGAGGAGATGCTTGCCCAGCCAGTGGGAGTGGCAGCGCGCATATCGCTGTGAAGGGTACCTAGGTGTTCCGGCTGCAAAAAAAATGCGGAAAGTACCTGGCAAAAAAAACGAAGGTCGACATATGCCGTGCATCACTGCCAATATGTGTCAATCCCATCGTGCATTCCAAGCCCTCTCATTCCGAGAGAAGTATCTCTCATGAACTTTGAATATCAAAATTATCAAAAGCAGTGGATTCTGCTGTTCTCAGCCGACGACTTCTGTTTGGCACATGGTGAATCCCCAAGGTGCCAAGGTGCCAAGGTCACCGCATCGCTGGCCGCACGACTCAGCAGTGCCAACTCATAGCTCTGCAACGGGACCGCATTCTCCAGGTCATCGCCCAACATCAGCGAGAGCCGTTTGGCCAAAATCTTACAGCTGTACCTGGGATTCTGGGATTGAAAAGGATTGAACCCCTTGCAATCACAATGTGATATCACAACGCCCCATATCACAATGTGATATCACAATGTGATATCACAATGTGATGGGACATGCTATCACTTGAATCACTTTCACCAGCGGGCAATACTTGGCAAGAGAGAAAGGTAAATAATACTTGAGGCCGGGGGTGGATGACGAAAGCTAGCGGGGCAGGAGAAAGAAGGAAGGGAAGAGGTGAGTTGCGGAGGGACTGTCAGCATCGTGTCGCGGCATTGTTCGTCCCAACGAGGATGCAACAATGATATATTGATATATGATATATAACAATGATATATATGGGGGAGGGGGCAGGGGGGGGCCCTTTCGCGGGAAAAAATCACGTGATGTCCTTGGGGAGCCCCGGAATACGTGCTAAAGCAAGAAGACTCTAGCGAGCTGACGCTAGCTTTCGTGATAATGACAATAATTGCCAATAATGATAAAATGTAATTGAATAACGATGATGATGATGATGATGATGATGATGACGATGATGATGATGATGATGATGACGATGATGAATGATGAATGATGAATGATGAATGATGAATGATGAATGATGATGATGAATGATGATGACGATGACGATGATGATGACGATGACGAGGACGAGGACGAGGACGATGGAGAGGACGATGACGATGATGATGACGAGACGATGACGAGGACGATGATGATGATGATGATGATGATGATGACGAGGACGAGGACGAGGACGAGGACGATGGAGAGGACGATGACGATGATGACGATGATGATGACGATTATGATGATGACGATGACGACGACGAGGACGAGGACGATGGAGAGGACGATGACGATGATGATGACGATGATGATGACGATGATGATGATGATGACGATGATGATGAGAGACGATGGATGATGATGATGATGATGATGATGATGACGAGGATGATGATGATGATGATGATGATGATGGGATGGTGGTGATGGTGGTGGTGGTGGTGGTGGGGGAGGTGGGGGGGAGGGGGCCCCTTTCGCGTGAAAAATCACGTGATGTCCTTGAGCAGCCCCCCCAATACTTGCTAAAGCAAGAAGACTCCAGCTAGCTGACGCTAGCTTTCGTGATTATAATAATTATCTGCCAATCACTATCTTTTCCGAACTAAGAAGTGACAGTTGTGGCATGTTATGGCCACAATCGCATCAATCGCCACAACGGGCCGTGTAGGTCAAGTGATCAACAGTCTGCGAGTGAACACAACAGATGCTCGCCTGATGTCTGCACTCAGCATGTCCACACTGTCCGAGATTTCTCGCAAGATGCGGCCAAGCAAGCCTCAGAAAGTGTTGAGAACAAAGGGTACCACCAGGTGCCAGCTGCTTACCCTAATGAGTTACGGAGATACAACGGATACCAAGTGATGTAAAGTGTGTAAAGTGTATCGTGTAAAGACAGTGTAAAGTGCTCCAAAATTCCACCAAAACTCAAGCAGCAGCTCAGCGCCAAGTTGCGAAGGATGGCAAGAAGCGTTGGTTTTGTCAGCAGCTCTGAAGTGAGGTTCAAAAACAGGTTGAGCGTTGGATCCCTGTAGCCTGGGCTGTCCTGGGAACTGGACAGCAAGCTGAGAGTGAAAACATGTGAAAACTTCTTGACAGCATAGCAGGCCATAACAGGCCACAACAGGCCGCAACAGGCCATAGGGCATGCTCCGCATATCTCGCATCTAATGTGTTTTTTGGATTTTGTTGCAATCTGCAAAAGTATGGCAGATTTGCAGCCGGTCCTGTGCATCTGACAGCTGCACCATGACCGCAGCGTACTCGATGAACTGATTCAGGGCGACCGCAGCCATGTCATGGGGATCATTGCAACAAAATCTGCCCGAAGTGGAGGACCGGGTGGTTCAAAATGTTCAAAAAGACCGGGGACACGCTACATCACAACGCAGAAAAAAACATGTGCACACAGGGATACCTTCAGATCTTTCAGGATGGATAGATGGATAGATTATGATAGATTGACAAGATAATTTGGATAATAGAAGAAATGACATCATATGACACGAGATTGACATGAGATATCAATGAGATCAAAAAGGGACCCACGTCCTTTAGAATCTTTAGATCCAAATAGATACAGTATCTTAGATATATATATATATATATCATGATATATCAATAGCGTTGATGATGCGTTGATGGTTGATGATCTGATGTGCCTCATCTAGAGACAGGACACCATCTTGGTCACCATCGAGGCTGATGATCAATGCAGCGCCCAGATTCGTTAAGTCGAAGTCAAGGTCCCTTGGAAGTTGGAGGCTTCCCTTCCACAGCGATCGCCTCTGAGCGAAAAATCATGGAAACTGATGGAAACTGGGGACCTGTCACCATCTGTCACCCATTTATCATCAAGTTTGATCATGAAGTTTATCACATGTTATCATGAATTTTGTCTGTTATCCTAAAACAAAATATCTTGAAACTGGATTAGTCATGGAATTGGCCGTCGATTCAGATTTTCCGGCAAGCTTTCGATGAGCAATTTTCAGGGGAGTAAAGCACAGCATAGTAAAGTGGGATCCTTCAGCAAAGTGGCGTGAAATCCAAGGCATCTTTGCAGGAGATGCCCTGGATGCCCTGGATGCCCTCCCCAGTTCTGTTGGACGCGTTGGACGCGTTGGAAGCAGAGGCTTCGTGGCTCAAGCAGAAGCGCCGAAGCAGTTCCGCAGATTTCACCCGTGCGTCCGCGCGGCGCGGCGCATGTCGCAGGATGTCCAGCAGCTCGGGGTCCACCGACACCGGCATAGCACGAGTGGCTGGAGCTGGAGCTGGAGCTGGAGCTGCTGGAGCTGCTGGATTCTCCAAGGCATCCTGTGTACCTAGAACTTCACCTCCTTCGCTCGTTCTGTTTCTAGTTGTGGTATATGCACTCTGGAACTTGTCATCTGGCTCTGGCGTCGCAGGACATCTCCACTTGCACATGCGGCATGTCCCAAAGCCATGGCCGCACAGGGGCTGGTCACCAGAACCAGAAAGCGGAGTTACGAAGACCTGTGGCAGCACCCAAAGGGCCCAAAGGAGTACTGAAGCCACTGGACACTTCCTGCCACCGCATCTCCTGGGCTTGACCCTCTTCATCCCTCTTCACCATGGGAGAGGATGGCTCCCGACATACCATGGGGAAGAAACAAGCTCAAAATGGCCCAAGCTTTGAGGATGTGACTCCGTGACTTATGCACCCAACGCATCCAACAATATGCTATTGCCAGAAGTCTCTGCAACTTTTTGTGGTTGGCTATGGGGAGTTGCTCGTTTTGCCTCATTTGCATACTCAGGATCCTGGTGCAGAGCTATAAAAATGCTGAGTATGCAACAAGTTTAGCACCACCTTTACTACACAGCCATGAGATTGTCTCAGGTTCCTCACTGGGCCAAAACAACGACAGAGAATTGAACACATCGTGACTCTTGCACTTGGGAAACCAGACAAACAGTCCGCGAAACGCTTTTACGGTTTAGGGGTCGCAATTATCGAGAGATATCGAGAGAGACTTGCCAATGAACTGTGCTACACTTTTTTTGCATCCCATGAGCATCTGGGCTCTCAATGTATCCACCCTGGAAGTTCCTTCCACTTAGCGTGGTATCCAGTAAGGTGCTGAGTCGTGACATTGCGGCCTGGCATTTCTAACGAGCCGTGCATGGCATGTGAGTCACACATAGTCACGCCAGAATCACCAGGGTCTGAGAGCCGGCAAAGAATCGATAGAATCGACCTGGTTCTCCCGTGCTGTTCACATGTTCACCCTGCCGCAGGTGGCCCTTGACCTTTGTTGCTCGGCAGAACTTGAAGGTGTCAGTCTCCAGGTCATTCGTGATTGGATGTGATTTGCATGGCATGGGCATCATCCTTTGATATAATATGATATAATCCATATTCAATCCATATTCCTTCATTCAATAATCCTCATACGATCCTTAGGTCTTTGCCCAAGCGACCCCCTGCGAGGTCTTCAGTGTGATGGTGGTGGAATCCTTCGCATCGATCTGCAACAAATCCGCATAGACCTTTGCCCATGCACTACGGCGTCGATTGTCCACTTTCGCTTCAGATTTCGCAGATTTAGAGCGCTGAGAACTTTGCTCCTCCATTTGCTCGGACGCCTTTGATTCCTTTGATTCCTTTGATCCTCTGGCTATGGCCCCCTTGTCCAACAGATCGAGTAAAAGTCTGCGGCACTCGCTGATGGATCTCAAGGACTTAGCAACTTCACGTTCCAAGGCTTGCAGGGCCAAATCTCTGCCTTGACTCTGTTCTGTTTCTTCGCCAAAAGCATCCTGTGGCTTTTCACATAAATCCCACACACGGCCCCGTTCAACATCATATGCAGCAACGACAGCTTCTACGCAGGCAGTGAGACTCAAAATCTGACTCTTGCCTCGGCGTGAGGACTGCGATTGCAAGATTCTTTCGATCTTTTCAGCCCGATCCAGATTTTCATTTTTTTCCCAAGGAGGCTGCAAGGCGATCACTAAGGCTTCTTGGGCAGATCGCACTCTGCGTTTCAGCCATGTGCTTGGAAGCTCAGTGCTATACAGCTTTCTCATCCGTTGCTTGTGCTTCAACACCTCCCGCAAGCGACTTCTGGCATAATCAGCTTCCATCAGCAGCTCAGGAAGTTGCCACCTGGAAGTTGGATCTAGTGGATCTAGTGGATCTCTCAAAAAATCCGATGCATGTTTCCACTGCAACAGCTTCTGCTTCCGAGCTGCCGCTCTCTCTGCAAAGGACTGCGGCTGGAGAGCCTCTCTGACGCTGTCGACTGCAGGGGCCTCTTGCTGTCCAATCTGTCCAGCGTTCATCTCCACGGTGGGTGTCATTTCTGTCACTTGCACAACTTCTGCTCCTGTTTCTCGAGGAACTTTAGGAGCTTCAACTGTGTCAACTGCAACTGGTTCGACTGGCTGTGGCCCATCAGCACTCGTGGTGCCTTCCACACCCTCATGCTCCAAACCCACCAAGTCATCCTTGTTTCGAGTCTCCGCGTCCTTCATTTCGGATGCTCGGGCCTCCGCCAGTTGCAGGAAACTGTTGGCAAATTCAGCAGTGATTTCGTCAGATCGCTCAATCTCCACTGGCTCCCATCTCTCCACAGGCTCCAAGTTCCCATGGGGTGTCACTGGCATCACTGGCATCGCTGGTGTGCTGAGGATGCTATTCAAATGACTCAGGTGCTCCTGCAATTTGGAGTTGCGTTTTTGTTCCACCACGATTTTCTTCTCAGCTTCCTGGCGGCCATCCTGGCCATCCTGGCCATCCTGGCCATCCTGGCTATGCTGGCCATCAGGCGATGGCGTTGCTGTTGCTTTCTGCAAAGCCATGAGCTGCTTGAGGCCAGCTGACCGGATGTCTGGGAGACGGCCGAGACGGCCTTCAGCTGCTTCAGCTGCCGCCGATGCTGGGGATGTCGGGGATGCAGCGGAAGCATCGGATCTGATGGATCTGAGGTCATCGGAGCTGGCCATTGCCTTTGCCGATTTCAATCTTTCCAACGAAGACTCTGCAGCCATGACACTGGCACGTGCTGCCAGCAGAAGCTGCAAATGCTCGTGATAGTCCCGGAAGTTCTCGGATGTCGCCTGATCGGGCTTGGCGCCGTGGACCAACCCAGCTAGATCTACAGCATCAGGATATGTCGGATATGTCGAATATGTGGGTACAGTGAGTTGACTGGTCTTCGGCAGTGTCCCCGTCTGAGCCAGCGCAGATTTGCAGGGGACACATGGGACACAGGGGTCCTCTCCAAGGATTGCTGTGCCCCAACAATCAACACAAGCACAACCAGAAATGCCACGGCTTTTGCGTCTCCAAACTAGTGCTCTGGCATCATGCGTCTGGCTAAATGGCAATGCACTCATGTTCGCACTCTGAGATTCATGGGATCCATGGGAAGCATTGCGGATGCCAAAACTGCCCAGGTCCCTTTCCAACCTTGATGCCTCCACTGCCCACAGTTTTTCATGCAGCAAGAGCTCAAGTCTTAACTCATCAAATCTGCTTCTCTCTTGCGACTCCAGAAAGGTGTGCAAATGGTGGGCCAAGCGCACAGACAGCCCAGCTCGCCTGTACTGTCCCAAGAGTCCTCCGACTTCAGAGGGCACAACTTGCTTCATCGAAGATTGGTGCAAAAATATCAAAAATGCACAAGTTCATAGCTGGAAATGCCATGGCCTCCGATGGTTCTGACATCTGACATCTGTTGCGATTCCGATGGTTGCTGAGTTGGAAGGATTAGGACCTGACAGGGATGATCAAGACCTATTACATGTTAAAAAGGTTCAAGTTTTTATAACTTTTAACTTTTATTAACTTGAACATGTTTATGACGGCATTCACAATATTTCACAATCACTTATGATATGATAATTAGATATAATTAGTGGTGCCATGTGGTGCCAGACTTGCCTTTGATCCGCAGGTGGATGTCTTTCCGCCCTGTCCGACCTGTCGCCGTTGTCATATCCTGTCCGACCTGTCGTCACAACCTGTCCACGTTTTCGCCATTTTTCGCCCAAGCAACGAGAGCAACGACGTGCCATGCACACTTTGGAGCGGCTTCGGAGCGGCTTCGTGCTTTGCACAAAAAAGATAAACAAAATATGTTCGGAAGTGCAAAGATCCAATGAGTTCGGAAGTGTTCAATTGATGTTCAACTGTTCTGATGTTCCTGTCATGTCCTTGACATTGGAGAGCTCACAAGTTTCTCTGGCTCCCTATGGCTCCCTATTATTCAATGCATAAACATTAATATAATATATATATAATGTATTAGCAGCATATATTCGCTACAGTTTGGAAGTCAACACTTCCTGCGCTTCGTGGGTTAAAACTCACCTTTTCATGGATCATTTGCGTCGCATTCACCATATTTCACCATGGTTGCTGCATCTCACAGCAACGTGATGACAACTAAATCCTGTCACTTTGGGAGGCTTGTTGCCGCTATGCACCCCTGGTCTTGATCCTTTTGGAAAAGAATGGGCTGACAAGGCTGACAAGGCTGACAAGGCTGACAAGGCTCATATAAGCCTCCCAAGTGGGGAAAATGGATTCAGAAAAGATAAAACTAAAGAGTCCAACGAGTCCAACGGATCCAAATGGTCCAACTACCAGAAACTCCTAAGGAGGTCTGCAAAGATTCCGAATGGAACGATCCGCCGCCCTGTCTCAAGGCCTGCGAAGCAAGGAAGGTCTGAGAGGCACTGACGTCAGAATCGAGCACCAGATTCATTCAAATCCTGTTAAATGGTTAAACGATGTTAAACGTCCGAGGAACGTCTGCCAGCACTAAAATGTGTTCCAAGGTCACTCACTACCAGGTTACCAGGTCACAAAACATCACTTTTGAATCTCCAATCATATTTCGTTTTTGTTCATGTCACTGCATTTCACATTGTATCCAACCTATCTAACCTATCTAACCTATCTAACCACTCCTAGACTTGTCCAACTGTCCAACTCATCAGCCACCCTGAGGCCTGCGGGTCCCGGCGGCTCCCGGCGAGGACGGCGAGGATGGAGGGCACTTCACGTCTGCTGAAAGATTCACCTCACTGCAGTCACTGCAGCTATGGCAGCTATGAGAAATCCCATAGAAATCCCATGAAATATCCTAAGTAA